CCATACCTCAATAGTTTATATAAAATGTGAGATATAGGAACAAATTGCTAATTGTTGAAGATAATGGAAGGAGTAAAGTGAGTATTAATTTTTAGAAAATTAATATAATTTATATTAATGTTTATTAGTATATAAATTTTAATAATCAATTTTAATATTAATTAATGAACATCCATTAAGAAGAAACATTGCTTAAGAATAAAAATACATACAATTATAATTGATGATTGAATATGGTGTAGTGGTTTGTTTATGCTTATTACAACTAAGTTACTAGGGTTCAATACTCTTTATCTTTCTTATTTGTAGTTTTAAATATGTTGGTTTAATGACAAGTCTAGAAATTTTCTCATTTTTTGAATTTTTTAATTTTTTTAATCCATGTCATTTTTGAAACTACCAATTATAAACCCTACTTTCTCCAAAAAAATCCTCCTAAAATTTCTCCTAAACAAGCTCCCCCACTATCTTAAACTTTCTCCAAAATTATCTCTAATTTAGTAAAGAGTGTCTCTCCTAAAAATCATCTCTAATTCTTATTTATCTTCTCCCCCACTTATTATCTACATCTATCTAAAGAAAGTTTGAATTAAAAAATTTTAAGAATTTTTTTAATATTTAAAAAAATTATATAATAACTTTAAAATATTTATTGAAAGACAAAAAATAATAATAATCGATTTAATAATGTTCATATTAATAATAATTATATATTTTTACAAAATTCATCATGAAATTATGTACAAAAAATATAAATTATGCTTTTTTGGATTATTCAATCTTAATGTTATTTAATAATAAAAAATATAACATTAAAAATGAAATATTATTTAAATATTTCAATAATTAAATATCTTAAATAACAAAATATTAAAATTAATATTTTAAATCAATTAATAACATATTTTAAATATTTACTGAATAACTTTCAATTATAATACATAGATTAAGATTTTAAATATTTAGTTAAATAAATAAATATTTTAAATAACGAAATATTTAACATAACTAGATTTTAAATAGTTAAAATAACAAAATTATGTATTAGTAGTAATATAATTTTATGGATTATTAAATTCAACAAGTAATTAATATTTTAAAATTTAAATAATGATATTATTTCAAAAAACAAATAATATTGTAAATAACTAATTTCAATTATACCAATTAATAATTCTAGATAATAACTTTAAAAAAAATTAATGTTTAATAATAATAATTTTAAAAACTTAATCTATATTTATTATATATTTATATATAATAACATTAATACTTATTGTATGTAAGTAATTATTTATTATTTTCTGTGATAAATATATTTTCAATAATTATATATATATATATATATATATATCTTTGTTATATTATTTAATAGAAAATTTTCAATAATTATTAAATCAATTAATAATATATGTTAAATAGTTACTGAATAACTTTCAATTATAATACATAGATTAAGATTTTAGATATGTAGTTAAATATCTAAATATTTTAAATAATGAAATGTTTAACTTAACTAGATTTTAAATAGTTAAAATAACAAAATTATGTATTAATAATACTACAATTTTATAGATTATTAAATTCAACAAGTAATTAATATTTTAGAATTTAAATAATGATATTATTTCAATAAATAAATAATATTGTAAATAACTAATTTAATTTATACCAATTAATAGTTCTAGAAAATAACGTTCAAAAAAATTAATGTTTATTAATAATAATTTTAAAACTTAATATATATTTGTTATATATTTATATATACTAAAATTAATATTTATTGTATTTCAATAATTATTTATTATCTTTTGTGATAAATATATTTTCAATAATTATGTATATATCTATTTTTATTTTGTTATTTAATAGAAAATTTTCAATAATTATTGTAGTTTAAACTTTTGTTTATTTAGCCGACTGGAAATACTAGAAATCAGGTTGGTCAGTTTCACTAGTTTGATTAGGAATGGCGACGAGTTTAGGTGGGAACAAGGAGCCTCTCCCCATCCCCGTCTCCACGGGGATCCCCACTCCCCATGATTCTTTATAATGTCAACCATTATGTTTTTGTTTTTAATTTTATTTAAAAAATAAGAATAAAATAATTAAAATTTACAATCCCATTAGAAAAGATCTAAACATATTCAATCATATTTTTAAAAATATTAACATATAAACATATGTATATATATATATATATATATATACACATATAAATGCATGCATATATATACATATATTAGTGGGAATCCCATGGGATGGGGATCGGGGTCCCCGTGGGGTAGGGAGTGCTCTCCCCATCCCCGTGTCGTCCCTGCCAATGGGGATGAAAATTTGTCTATCTCCATCCCCACGGGGGAAAATCATCCCCATCCCCACCCCATTCGGGGCGGTTCCCCACGGGGATTGGGGAAAATTTCCATCTCTAAGTTTGATAAACAACCCTGTCTAAAATTAATTATTGTTATTTTTTATTATAAAAAATTTATCAAAAGTAGTATATAAAATATAAATGATTATTAATTATTATATAAAACAATTGTATACTCTTACATGTTTCTATTATTTATCTTTAACTTAACAAATTCCTTGCATGGCATAGGTCCCCGCTAGTTATTAATTAAGAGAGACAAAGAGTTATTAAGAGAGAGAGAGGTAATAACTATAGGGGAGTAGGAGTTATTTAGGGCAAGTTTCCTTAAATGTAGGAGTTATTAGAGAGACAAAGAATTATTAAATAGGCTTATTTATGAGAGAGAGAGAGATAATCTAATATTACAATATGTATCAGCCAATACATTCAAAATATCGGTCCATATCAGTCCTGTATCAGTCGATACAGACCTGAAACAACTTGATGCAGGTCCATATTGATCTGATACAGACAAAAAGGAATGAAACTACTGGATTTGTAGCGTTCCATGTATTGGGATGTTGCTGGAATGGTACATACCAGTTGATACATTCCGATTTTTTAAACCTTGATATATATATATATATATTATAGGTGTCATATTGTAATATTTATATATATAATATAAAATAATATATTGTACACATTACCTATTGGGGGAGTTAGTATCAGGCTCTGGGTGGGTTGGACAAATCACGGTTTCTGAACTATCATTGACTTGACCTGAAACCGTCTAGGCAACCAAATCCGTTTCATCCCTGAACTATTCCTTTGCCAAAGATCATTGACATGGAAAGCAACCCATTGACCTAGGCCATCAAACTGTCAACCCATTCAACCTATACAATGGTTTTTGGCTGTTTTTATTTTATTTTTTAAATTGCATTGGGTTGTTCATTCAGACCAAACGATTGAACCATTGACCCAAAAAACGATGGCCAAAATGGTTTTGGTTCTAGATCAGTTTTTAAAACATTTGGACAAATACTAACCCACCTTGTCCTTAGATCCCAATCAATGGTTAAAACAATTGCCCCAATGAAGGCGGGACAAGTTGGAGCCCGAATAGGGGTGGGTTAGATTGCCATCTTTACTTGGGTTTTCAAATGCACCATAGAAAATATAATTGAAAAGATCGATGAAAGTCTGGTTGGTATCGGTTGAACCCTTATAAGGTTGGGTCGGGATTTAAAACTGTCATTATGTCGGGTTCGAGTAGAAGCATTGTTGAGTCGGGTTAGGGTGAAGGCAAACCCATACTGAACCTGACTTGTTGTGTTTATCTTTTATTATTTTTAATTTGAAATTAATAATTTTTACTTTTATTGAATTTTAATTTATTTAGTAAATTGTTATTGATGTATAATTTAAGTTATGATGTTATGGTAAGTTAACTACTTTTAAAATTTTTTAATAATGTTAGAATTTGCTATTATAAATTAAGTATAATATTCTTGTAATTAGTTTTACAATTATTATTGTTAAAATTGAAAATCAGTAATTTATTTTGATCTTTCTATTATACTAATCATTTTTAATAAAAATTAAATGAACAATTTTATGAATTACTAACATTAGTTTATTAATTTTGCAAACTATTATTATTAATCGAGTTTAACATACAATAGTAGCGGTAATGTCAACACATGGGGCCAATATTATATGTTATACTCGTAAATATTTCAAATTGTCCCTCTATATTAAGATGTCTCTCTTATAATTGACCCACGTTTATGAATTAAATGAGAGGGCTGGAAAGGAGTGAGAATGCAAGAATTAGAGTTTAGGAGAAAGTAGAGGCCATATGACGTGGACTGATTTGATTAATATATGCATAGATATGACTTTTTTTTTGAATAGCATAGATTATGCTTATTGAAACCAAAAGTTTAGAGCCATTTACATTCACATATATACAAACATAGTTCAAACCAATTAAGTTGATCCCATCTATGCTACATTGGGGATGGTTTAACCTGCAAACGAGCTTGAATTGAAGCTCAGGCTCGTCTCATGAGCTAGCTTTTTGGCTCATTTATATCCAACGGCCCTAACTACTTATTGGATCTGTCTTTAATCGCTCCCAGAAAGAAGCAACCACATTGCTGGTAGAGATGCCTCTCAATTAAAATTAACCACTTTCCTCCTATATATTGAAACCTGCCTTACCTAACCCGATCAACACTTTGTACAGGTGAATGGCAATCCGTCCGAGACTATAAATGCTGATCCACTCTGCAACAGAATCAAGTAATAATTAAGTCTAACTTATTATTCCAGAATAAACGGAATGCAAGTCCATAATGCATCATCCACTGAATATTTTTCCTTTTTCTGTGCATTAAATGTGGCAACTTAAAATTTGTCCTTCTGATGGGGGGGTTAGTTCAAGTTTCTAATCAAGACCTCATATCTGATGTGCCAAGGTCGCAACAGTCATCTTCTCACAACCAAAAGAAATTAAATGTTGGTTTACGAGGCTATATCATGAATTTTATCAATAAACAAGGGCAAATTTATGGCTTCACCACTATATTAACCCGCTTGATGAAGCTGTTTGGCCACTTCTCTCTCTTTCTCTCTCTCACTCTGTCTACCTCGCACTCTCGCACTCTCGCTTGCTCGCAGCACAAAGAGGCGAGAAGAGACCGATCGAGAGTTTTTGTTAGAGAAGAGATGTCTTTAGTAACAAAAGATGTGATAGCCAATGCTGAGGTCTATTACGGCGATGAAATCTGTCGAGAAAAGTTCAAATGGTTGCTCAAGGAGATAGGACTGCCAAACAGTATCGTCCCTGTAAGAGACGTAGAAGAATGCGGGTACGTGAGGGAAACTGGTTTTGTTTGGCTCAAACAGAAACAGAAGATTGAATACAAGTATGAGAAGGTTGGTAGACTTGTTTCCTATGCAACGGAGGTCACAGCCTACGTTGAGCCATATAGGATTAAGAAGCTGACTGGTGTGAAGACTAAAGAGCTTCTGGTCTGGTTCACTCTGACCGACATTTGCCTCAACCCCAACACCGGCAAAATCAACTTCAAGACTTCAACAGGTCTGTCGAAATCCTTTCCGGCTTCAGCATTCGAGATGGACGAAGTCCCAGAACCAGAAGCTAAAGAAACCAAGGAAGTAATGGAAGTCAAGGAAGGAAAACTTATACTAGTTTAATACTAGATTGAAGACTCGAGACTCTGAATATAGATAGCTTCTTGAGCTTCGTCATGGTTATCAGCATCTTTCATTTTTCTTTTCTCTCTCAACTCCACACCTTCTACTACGTACTGTGTTTCCGTTGTAACGTGCTATGCTAAAATAAATGAATAAATGAACAAATCAATAAATAATTAAATAGAGTATTTTCGTTACGTGGGACCAAAAGCTAAGCAATGGAACTTTGGCCTTCGGGTTGGACTCTGGATCTCCTGCCCACAAGAACTCTATTTGTAAAATACTATCTCCGTGCATTGGAAATATTTACCCGTGCATAATAACATGTTACAGTATGAGATTTTCTGCCCACGAGAATCTTGCCCATAATATACTATTCCCGTGAATTAGGAATATCTCTCCTTGCATAATGCAGAGGGTGAGATGTTTTCCATATGTGGCTGCGATAAAGGTGAACAAGGTTCTCGTGGGCAGGAGTTCTAGACTCGAAATGTTCCCCATATGTGACTGTCATGTTATGTGAATAAGTGTGGACAGAGTTGCTGTGGATAGGAAATCCAGACTCTTAAGATTGGGCCTAGGCGCCTAACCACCTAGGCCAAAACTGGGCCTGAGTTTAGCCCAATTCTGGCCTCATTCAACCTCAGGCCATCCTACCAATAATTTTATCACATGAATAATGGTATTTTCCCTTCACTTGTTTGGTTTACAGGCCATAATACCAATAATGTTATATTTCCTTCACCTGTTTGGTTCAATATAGAATCAGATTCAGAATTGACTCCATCACCTGCAATCATTTAGAATTGGCTGTAATGGATTCTCATTCCCAGTGGAAGGGGAGGGAGTGTCATTCACCAGATATTAATGTAAATGAAATTCGGATTCCACCCGACCAATCATAAAAACTAAAATATGTTTCTTTTAATCAACGAGGTCTAGAAGTAAACTTCACTTATTTTTGCCATGTGAAGGGATTTAATTGTCAATCTAGGACAATCTAGATTATTCATCAGATCTGGGACCCATTAAACTGACCACGTACGTATTCAATGCAATGTCTACATCAGCCCCATACTCGACTTTATAGCGAAGTAATTGTCCAACTGGCTATAGCCAATTACACTTTTAAGTTGTCGATAAAAGAATGTCTACTTAATTAGAAGTTTGATTAAGTGGCAAAGAATTTTAGGCTGTTAATTATTTTCATTAATCAAGAATGGACATAAGTATACTCCTTTTGATCTCCAAACATGCTTTTCATATAAAAAATTCCCGGGTCGTTTCAGGGGACTTACTAATGAGTAAGGATAATTACCCTACTATCAAACCTGTTATTATATTTGAGGGATGGGAATTTTCCTGTATTCGTCGACTGCCCGGCTTCTCCGATTCAATGGGGTCGGAATGGAGATTGCCTCGGTAGGAATGGGGGCGGGGACGGAGTGAATTCCTCGCCCCACCCCAATCCATCATAGTTGGAAGTTCTTAAGACATAATAGATCAATAATCTTTAGAGAATTGTTATATTTTAAAAATATTCTCTTATTTTAAAAAATAATTTTAATTTAAAAATTTCAGGGATTTGAGTCCTTGATGAAAAACCCTTCTCTATTAGTCTCAGTTTGGAAGAAGTACAAATACAAATATGTATAGTGTAAATACATACAAAATGTACGGTTTTGCACTGTGCATATTTGTATCTGTACTCCTTCCAAACTGAGCCTTAGCGATCAGGATGGAGGGTCACTTTTATCACTGACAAAAATTAGAATCGAGGATAAGGATTTATTTCAAAATCAGGATCAGAGACAGAGAATATGATCCCCACCTCAAACTGCGGGGCTACTTGAGCCACAACTCAGTTAAGTTAGAGGTTATTTTTCAAGTTACAATTAGTTCCAGTTTAGAATCATTTTTGTTTGTTATCTTGTACGTGTCTCTGTAGTCGAGAGAGACCAGGTCCAACTATTATGTATCAATTAATTGTTTATTGCTTGATAGTGAGTTCAGCTAGATATGCTGAATGTGTTATCATGGAAACTAATTGGTTGTTAGTCTTGCATCTATTAAAAGAGTTCCATGTACTTACTGAAGTTGAAGTAATAGAAGTTGTTCTCTGTTGTTTTTCTTTGTCAGGTTTTGCCTCTATAGTGTTCTATTCCTTGCTTTATTTTGTTTAAAAATTCTGCTCACAACCTAGTTGAGAAATAGCTGTCGAGAGACCACTATAGTTTACAAGTGGCATCAAAGCCAGGTTGGTCTAGAAGCTAGGCATTCCATTTACTGCAGATATAGTAGACGCATGATAGGTAATGTTGTGAATGGTTCATTGGTTGTTCCTATTTTTGACGGCACTAATTATTTGTTTTGGGACATTAAGATGAAGACAATATTTGTGTCAATTAGAGCCTGGGATATTGTAAAAAATGGGTTTGAGGACTTAATCAAATGACAACAGCTCAGTGAAATGGCTTTAAGGAGAAGAAGAGGAAAGATGCAAAGGCTTTGTCATTGATCCATCAGGCATGGTGCATAGCATCTTTCCAAAAACCATAAATGCTATCACTTCAAATGAACCATGGGGAATTCTCAAAGAAGAGTATCAAGGTAGTAAGGTACTTACTATTAAATTTCAAGATCTCCATCATGAATTTGAAAACCTATATATGAAAAGTGTTAGACACTGTATGCCCTTAGCTTCAATCAGATTGATGTACATTATGACATTTATTGTAAATGAATAAATTACATATTTGATTCATGTTATTGTGGTGTGTTTTTGTGTAATACCCTTAAACTGGACACATAATGAGACTCGTGTTAGTTTAGAATGTTCACAGCCGCTGAATATGTCTGGGGAGATTTATCCTGCTAAGGCTGACACTGGTGTGCCGCCAAGTGTTGGGGTGGCCTGTCTCAGCTACCAGGGTGAGACCCGAGGTACATATAGTGTAGGTTTACTTGAAACCCTGAACTGGACCAGATTTCCAGTATTGCCCTRGACCTTGGTGATTAGTGGGCAAAACTGGAAATTTACACCTGACCCCTAGACTCGATTATGATACTGCACTAGGTGTCGGATTGGGCATTCTTTGATATACCAATCAGTGAGATCCTTAGCGGGGGTCAAAACCTGGGTATGTTGGGACAGTCTGAGATTTCATCTGAGTGGGTGATCATAGTGACAGGATCAGCCCCTTTGTCGGACAAAGGTAATGATCGGGGATGCACTCTCTCTGATGGAAACCAAGACTGCCGGTAACCGATTTCAATCGTTGAAATTTGTTTTGCAAAATATATTTTATATAGATATAAATATATATATATATATATATATATATATATATATATATATATATATGGTTTCAAATTGTTTACAAAAGGTTTTAATTCCCGAGATCCATGTGAGTAGAGAGTGAAGGACTATTCCTTGCAACCGAGGGAGAGGTCCTCTCTTATCGGGCAGCGTATGATCATTATGGGCTGAGAGGTTAAGTGTAAGACCATTGAGATTAATACCTGATGGGCTAATCTTGTATCTGCCCACAGTCCCTGGGTTTTTATAAGGTGGCTTGGCCTAGGGACCACTTAGTGTAAGTGTTGGGCCCATTAGGAGTCCATGTGATGGGCTTCAAGGGATTCATTGTCTTTTCAGTGAATTCGTCCAAGCCTTGTAACAGTGGCTGGGCTGAGCCCATGTGGCTGATCTATAGATTAACGTTTGGTCCCACGCCATACAAAGAAGCCCAACTGGGCAGCAGTTTGGAAGCAGTTTGAGCACTTAGACTTCATGGGCCTAAAAGTCCATTTCGAACTGGGCTGATATGATCAATTATATAAAGGGGCGGATCTAGGATTAAATCAGCAGATAGGATAGGGTCTTACCCTATCCACTCAGAGAGTCCAGATCTGAATACAAATTCAGATCTGGAAACCTCCTAATGAGATTAGGAGAGAGCTGATATAATCTGCAGATAAGATAAGGGCTTATCCTTATCTCTTAAAGAAGACTCCTAATCCAAATACAGATTTGGAATAGGAAACTCAGCTCTCTTTAAGCCTATAAAAGGAGGGGGCGAACCATTCAGCCCATCCCAGAAATCTCAGAGATACAAGATCTCAGAGCATAGAGAAAAGTCGAATACAATGTGACTTTGCCTTCTCCTTGCGTTCTCCTCCTGTCGCCACCATACTGCCATTTCATTCTCCAGTTTTCTAGGAGTGATCAAGATCAGATATTGATATCAGTCTTTGGAGAAAGATTGATTTGAAGTTGTGTTCACTGCCTCCATCGAATTCTTGTGAAGGGTTCGGTTCTTGGGAAGAACACTACTGATTCTGCTCCACACTATACTGTGTCATCTTCTGTGGGAGCAGTCTTTGGAGTCTTTCTTTGGGCGTGAACACCTTCATTGGGAGATACTATTTCTTCGTATCAGGTATATCCCTCTCCTTCCTTTTGGTTCAGATCTGGTTCGGTTCTTGGTTCAAGATTGATCATTGAAAAATGCAGTTTTTCTAAAACAGGGAATGTGATTCCCAGCTGGGAGAGAGAGAAATATTTGAAATTTCGCCCTACCTTCCAGCAGGGTTCAGCCATCCATTTGATGGATCTCTCATCCCTTCAGTGGTATCAGAGCCATGTTCAAATCTTGAACCAAATTAAATCAGATCTGAACCTGCGCAAATGGGCAGAAGGCGTTCTACCCGATTTGCGCAGATTAGGGTTTTTTTCTAGGAAATCGGTTCCTAGTTAAAGGGAAAATGATATGAAATTAATTTTTATAAATCTGGAATTTATTTAGAACTGTTCTTTATTATTTTCTTGTTTTATGGACTGTTCGTACAACTGGAGATCAAAATCTTGATTGGCGCAGTGAACCTGCGATTTGTAGTTTTTCTTTTTACATTCTGGTCTGTAAATATTTTTTTTTTTAATTTCTAGACTGAATGTATAGGATTCGATCAGATGTAATATTAATTGAAATTAGGTTTTCTATTTATTTTATTTTCCTGATCGAAGATGGCTGCGCAAAAGAAGATTTCGTAGATACATAAATCGGTATCTGCGATTTGTAGTTTGTGATACTACAAATCGGGTTCTGACGTTTGTTTTGCAGGATGGAGGTGTGCGAACAGCCCTATGACTGATTCTTGCTTGTTCTTTAATCAGTAATTAATTTCATATCGTTTCTTGAATTAAATCTTTAATTAAAAATCAAACCCTAGACCCATTCCAACC